AGGATATAATGCTCCGAGCCCATTTGGACCATTCCCATATTTCTAACTACCACCTTTTAAAGTCAATGAAGTGTTTTACTATCTGGGGCGTCTTCAGCGAGGTCGATCTCTGCAATACCGCCGGAGCCTCACACATCTCTTTATCCTGCTGCAGAACCACAGAACCAGAGAGGAGATGACAGGATGCCAGTTATTGTGAACTGAACCGGCAACCAAAGCGCCGCCAACCGAGACCGTGTCTACCTGTCAGATGACCATCACCTTGCACGTCGCGGTGGCCCCCGCGGAGAGTTTCCTGCATCGCTACGCTTCACCTTTGATGTCTCATGTTTTCTGACAAAGACTGGCCGAGCTTTGCATGTTGATACCAGGTGTAAAAGCAAAAGCTTGTGATTAAAGGTCATTATCTTGTTGTCAGAGGCAGCACGGTGTCTCAGCGGTTACCACGGTCGCTGGGTTGGAATCCCGGGACCCGTGTTTGCGTGGGACTCCGGTTTCCATCAAAGCATGTATATCAGATTAAGAGTCATCAGATCTGCTTCTTGAACTGGTTCTGTTCAAGATTCTTGATTTTCGGGATCTGAACCAGTTTATTTTTGGTCAAAATAGAGAAACAGAGTCGGTTCCCTGTTGGTTCTTGAACCGGTAGAGAACCAGCCCGCGTTTTCACCAGTTTTGAGTGGAACCAATAAAATCTGATGCGCCAACAGAAGTCATTGCACAATGACCTGATATAATATAACTCTCCCATTTTGGTTCTGAAGGAAAAACTGATATTTTATGGCCTTTTTTGGGCTCTGAACCAATTTATTTTTGGTCAAAATGGATCAAAACTAGGTGCTTGAACTGGAGCAGAGTTGGCTCCCTGTTGGTGGAAAAGGCCTATCAGAGTGTTGTTCCACTAAATTAGCTCTGGTTTAAGATTCTTGGAGCCTAGATGCTATCTAGCAAACTTTATTATTATTGAATTAAGTTGGCACATATAAGCAGCAGAAGGAATTTCCCCACACATTGATCTGTAGATCAAAGTCTTTTTTCCAAACTCTGAGCACACACAGCTCAATCTTTTACTTGGACAGTAGTTTGGTAGTTAAGTAGTAATATAAAACCCCCTGGAGAGGAAAGAGTTTGTCCATAACTGGGTGGATGTGAAGCTTAACCCAAAACCAATCCTCATTTTCTTCAATAACTTGGAGAAAATACGTCACAAATCTTCTGGATAAATTGGGACACAACGTCAGGATGGAAATTGGCTTTTTAATACATTTAACTATTTCTGTAAGATGATCATCAGTGAGGTTATTTGTAGTTTCTGTGGTTGCCATGGAGAGAGGAGTATTCCCCCGTCGTCTTTCAACTTTACTGTTTAACTTTTTTTCCAACATATTGAGCGAGCAAGAGAAAAAAAACAAAGTAGAGAAAAGAGAAGTTGACAAGAGGAAATGCAAATCAAGACTATTTATGTGGCACGTTTCATCCCAAAGGAAATACAGTGTCCTTTACAGGGAGAACATTAGCGTGTGCTAGCAGAGACATTAACAAATCAAATGCAAACAAATAGGAAGGACTTTTTTTGTTACATAAGAACATATGTTACAAAGAAGGAGACTTTTATTCTGAAGGGTACAGATTAAAACGTATTTGTGTTGCTTTTCTTTCAACAGGACGTTTAGTGATTGTTTTATCCTACAAACTCTCAACTTTGTTGTTTTACTGTCATCTTTTTGTTCTGGGAAAGCTCAGAGGACGTTTATGCAGGAAGGAGTCTGTGAATGATTTGTTTCTCAGGTCACTACACTTGGAATATAGAAACACGTTGAGCTGCAGCTCTGCCTGTTTAAGCTTTGGAACAGACTTTTCATGTTATTATGACTTACAAGCTTATCACGTTATAACAAGAGACTTTTTTCCTTAAGGGACCACTTTTCTATCATCGACTTAACTGATGAAACGTTTTATGGATATTTTATATTATATTCAGTGTCTAACAATAACAGTACAGAACAACTGATAAACTGTAAATATTAAACACAATAACTGCAGGACGTTTGTGTAATATTGATCCAAGATAAGTTTTTACTGATGTTTTTAGGAACTTTTTATACAGTTCTCCGTCTGTATTAGTGTTTTATTTATTTTCTAACAATCTTACAGACTTAATAGGCTTCTTTTTTGACAAATTCAGTATTTTTTGTTCTTCCTGACGCTTGTTCTGTTAGCTCTTTGGTTGTTTTCTTACACCCCTTAAAATCAAGAAGGCCTCGCGACCCTTCTGTGAAGCTTTGGCGACCCCTAGTGGGGGTCCTGACACCCAGGTCGGGACCCACTTAGGAGTTATAGGTCCATGTTTTCACATTATAAGATGATACTTTTCTTTTTCCGGCATGGCAGCAACTCGCTTCTGTCCCCATAAACAGTCAGAGAGATGCTGTGAAATCAAAGTCACGCACAAGAATTTAGACTCAAATTAAAATGAACCAAAACCCAAAGCTGGGGCCATTTTTAGCTAAATGACTGTGATGCTAGAACAGAGTCGTCTGCTCTCATATCTGTTGAAAACCCACACGTCTGTCAAGGTTTAAGGAGAATTTGAATCATCCGAGGGAATGACCTCTGGTATGTGTCTCCGTTAGCGAGAGTAGAGCTGAATTCATTAAAGACGTTCCTGCTGTTGGCTCTGGGTTTCATTGATTAAACATTTTACATAAGAGCCACAGAGGCCCTTTCACACTCCGCTCACAGGATCTAATTGTAGAATATCTCCCTGTGTTGTACTCAGCCAAACCCCCAGTTCGTTTATTTGTTTAATTAAATGCAGCGACTATTCCGAGTGTGCAGCACCATATTAACCAATGTGTTATTAGGTTTATCTTTGAGGATTCAGCTGCCACACTGCTGCGTTTTAAATTAATACCAACCAGCTACTGGAAGTATTAAGAAAACAAAGAGAGAGTGTGTTGTGTTTGCAGGATATATATAAATAAGTATTGATCTATCTTCTTCATCTAATGAGGGTTTGTGACGGGTGAAACCATCCAGAAAGAGATTTTTTGGACTTGATGCAGCAGTATATTAAGACCTGAGCGAGCAACGCATGGATACATAGACAGATATTTTGTTTGAATATTTTCCTTTTTTACAGTGCAAATTGATGATTTTGTTTGTGAGTTCTGGGGGAAGAACTTTCTGAATGTCACTCATTATCTCCCAACCTGTCGTCCCAATTAACCAATCAAGACCCCCCCGGCAAGTGAATACATGAAAAGGTCAGACTCTGGTCCTGGTTTGAACCGACCTGCTCGGGGCTGAACCATGTGATCGCACGCTGCAGATTATCAGATCGGATTATGTGTCCGGGGCGGGAGCTGATAAATAATTTGATGGTTGAGGCGAGCTCTGCCCCCCCCCCGCTTAATTAAGAATCTAAACACCAGTTCTGGTTTTTATTTACCACTTAATTTGAGTGCGAGCATCCAGAAGTTGGGTTACCATGGTTACCTGCATCTGGAAGTGACCTAGTTGTGTTGGTGACTCATGTTCAGGGAGCCTTCAGTCCTTCAAACGACCCCCTTCTTTTTCTTCTTCCGCCTCCTCCTCCTCCTCCTCCCAAACTCTTGTTAACCTTAAGAAGAGACACTCCTCTTCCTCCTCCTCCTCTTCCTCCTCCTCCAGCACACACACACACATACTCTCTGGCCAGATGTACCGCTGCGCTCAGACAGAGCTGTTACATCAGTTTAACATTCTTCAGGACAAACACGGGCACCAGCTCGCTCCAGCTGATATCTGCGGGTCCACAGGAACTCCGTAACTCATGCTGATGAAAATGTTTCAAACGTTATTGTGATGCATAATTCAGTGACAATGTACTCTTTACGCAGGGACTGTGCATGTTTTATTAATCCTGTATTTAAAGGTGCTGTAGGTAATATTTAGGAGGCTCAGAAATATAATATTCATAGGTATGGTTTCATTAATGTATAATCACCTGAAAATGAGATTAGTTGTGTTCTCCCAACCTGAGGGTAGGGACCCCCCACTAGAAGGCGCCAAAGCTTCATAGGGGGGTTGCGAGTCCTTCTTGATTTTAAGGCGTGCTAGAAGACTTAAATAATATACACAGTAGGCCTATAAATCAGCATTTTACTTCTGTAAAGTAAAGTAAATTGTACAGTGGCCGAAAAACATAATATGGACAGAATTTTGTATAAACAGGAAATGATCTGTTCAAAATTAATCAAAATCACTTGTTTTACACAAACATCTTTTAGTTACTGAGCTCACTTACTTTGCCATCAGATGGCCCTTTCCAACTCAGAACCGGAGCTGTTACCTCCATCTACGCATTCTTCAAAAGCCACCAGACTCAACGGAAGCTGATGGTCCACCGTTGCCATGATTTGTTAGTGTGTTTATGTTAATGTGTGACTTTGGAGTTTTAACACGTTATTTTCAGATCCAAACTAATGTCAGTTGCTGCCGATCGAGGCAGCGGTGGACCAGAAACTCCTCATCTTCTGTGAGCTAAAATTACTGATTTTGTTAATGGAGTCTGGTGGCTTTGTAGAGAGCGATATAAAGGCTTCAGTTTCCCATCGGGAAGCGCTGTCTGACAAGGTAAAGAGGTGAAAATATTCTAAATATAGCGCACACTTAAACTGATATTTTTTTGAGGTGGCTAAACTATGTTTGGTTGCTGCTTCATCCTCAGTGGTACATTATAGGTTCTGCTTCTCATACATGCTGATACCTATAAAATCAGATGATAATGTCTACCATGTCAACAGCTCAGTCTGTGCTGGAAAGGAAAAACTACATCTGTTAAGGCTCTAAGAATAGCAAAAGCACCAGTCTATCTCTGCATATATATATATTTTCTGTATTCACAAACTAACTTTAATCCTAGAAGCCGTTGTAGATCTCCACAGAGGATTACTGTCGTATGATTTTTTTTATCCCTTCCCCATTCATAACTGTGTCGTCTCTCCTCCTCCTCGCAGTAACTGCCCGTGCTCCCTGGCTGCGGCCCTGGCCAGAGCCACAGCAGAGAGCCTCCTGCAGACCGACCTCACCATCCACCACCTCAATAAGACTGTCGAGGATGGAGCTGACCCGCTACCACGTGAGTCCCCCGGGGAGCCCACGAGACTCTCTCTCTCTCTCTCTCTCTCTCTCTCTCTCACAGACAAATTAGGTCTCTCTCTCACTCCATCCCACACACATATACACAGGCATGTAACCACCAGGGCTTTGTCCCAGTTCTCCCCCGCAAAGCTGCATTAAGTGGTATTTGACCACTAGAGGGCAGAGAGTAGACCGTGAGCCAGGACGCACTACTACATCCACCCTGGGCCAACAGATCTACACTAACATCTCGTCATATTTTAACTGCAGTTGGTTGTAATGTGTCTTATAAATACATCAACTGTTAGGTTTAATTTAAAGGAAATAAGCTAAACAACAGTACACAAACAGCTGATAATAGTGAACGCCGGAAGTTTGTGTAAAATGAAGGATTTGGATGAATTTCTAGCAGATTATTTCCTGTGAATATTGATCAGAGATGAGTTTTTACTGATATTTTTTAGGAACTTTTTATTAATTTATCTGTCTGTCTTATGTTTTTTATTTACTTTAAACATTAATACAAACTTAAAGGCTTATTTTCTTTTTAAAAATTAGGTGTTTTCTTCTTCCTGGCGCTTGTTCTGTTCGCTCTTTAGTTGTTATAACTTTTGTTTAATGATGAGATATCGGCCTAATGTTTATATTTTTAAAGTTTTCTTTCACCCCTTTAAATCAAGAAGAACTCACAACCCCCCCCGTGAAGCTTTGGTGAGCCTTAGTGGGGGTCCTCACTCTCAGGTTGGGAACCACTGACACCAGTACTGTGTCGTATATGTACAAGAATAAAACAATGAACTGCAATTTATTTAAAATAATACACTTTAATTCTAAAATACAGTAAGAAACTGTAAAAAAATAAAAAAATTTTAAAGAAAACATTTCTTAAATGTGAGTATTTCCTGTTTTCTTCAGTCCTCTATGACAGTGAACGGAATATCTTCGGGTTGTGGACAACATGTTTCATCATTTTCTGACAACAACCAATCAATTATTTGAGAAAATGATCATGAGGTTAATCGATTAGTTGCAGACCGAATTCATATTCAGCAGTCACTTCCTCATAATTCATCAGATAATTATGTGTGATCTGAACGAGGTCACATTACATAATTTATTGGGAGAGCACCAAATCTGTATTAATCCGCCACTGAAAATAGTCCCCAGAAAATGCACCATTTACTGCTGTGTGTTAAAAACTACAGTGACCGGGAATACTGAACCTTTAATTTGACCTGATTTTAAAGATTTATGTTTTCAGTTCAGAACCAGCGGGTTTGTTGTCGTATCAAAATTAAAACACGTTGCACGGCATGTTTTATTCACCAAGCATTGTCTGCTGGAGGAGAGTGACCTGTTTTAATTTTTATGGACTTGCATTGAAGCTCACACTGTAAAAAAAGCTAAGTTTACAGGTTTTTACCGTTTATTTCTGTATTTTTTTAAATGTAAAATAATGTGAAAAAATCTGTAACTGTAAATAATCAAAAGATTACTGCGTATTTAAAGAAAATGTAATTTTCTTTACATAAAATGTTAATCAAATACATTTACAAATCTATCATTATTCACAGTTATTTCCTGTTTATTCAACAGATTAAACAGTTAAATTCAAGTTAATTACTGTTAATACATTTCTAAAATTATGTAAAATTAGTATGAAAGTTAATTGACAGATATCTTGTATAATTATTAGTTTTTACAACAAAAAAAAAGTTTAATAAATGTTTGTTTATCAGTGTATAAGCATTGGTAAACTGTCAAAATAATTTTTTTATCAGTGAAAACAGCAATAATTACTGTAATTCTTAAAATTCAGTCATTTAAAATGTTTAATATCCTGATTAAAATAAGAAAAATCCTCTTTTCTGTAAATTTAAGCCTGATTATTTGTATTATAGCAGAGTTCGTCTGTATTTATAGCTCATTTGTTTTACAGTCTAAATATCTTTAATTAAACATTAAAAAGCCCCAAAAAATAAGATTTTATGTCAAATTAAAGCTAAAAACTGTATTTTAACTCTAGAAAATGACTTTGTTTTTACGAGTCAGTTATGTTTTTGGCGCCCAGCTGCATTTTTTTTAAAACAATTTCTTTTTTTACAGTGTGCGTCTCTCTCAGAGTTTGAGCTTCTTGTGTTGTGTAACAGTCGATCACATCCTGTTTGATGCTGCTTCGCTGCACTCGCCATGTTTTTCTGTCTTCAGCTGGTTGCAAGGTTTTATGGGTAGCCGCTGATGACAGGTAGAGCGCTGGAGTTTGGTGTCAGGACGCCGGTTTTTTGTACTTTTAGAAGGTGGAGGGAAGTAATTGGGACACGGTCTCTGTCTGTCTCACTGATAACACATTTAGGAGAGCGAGAGTGAGAGCGACTGCAAAGACAGGATAGACTGTTACACCTGCAGCTAACATTAGTAGGTCAAGCCCACGCACACACACACACACAGTCTGTGTGTTGGTTATTTAACTTCTGGGCTCGCCTCGTTTCCACTAACGTCTGTAAGTCAGTCTGTCTTTCTGGGGCTCACCATCCACACCTTAGTTTAATTTACCCTCTAAAATCTCCTTAACAGATTGGGACGTTACCCAAGTCAACGCCTGTCACAATAACTGCTTCTATTGTCTCAGAAATAATTGCGATAAGACCATTTAAGACCATGTTATGCCACTTATATAATGATAATGCAAGCAGTGTACAGTTTAATATATTATATATTAAAATCTGGATATTTAGAGACTAGTTGACACCTGGAAATCGATTAAAATTTCCAAATATCCTGGAAATAATCTAATATTGTATTTTAACCCTTCATTTCCTAAGTTAGAGGAAAACTGTAGTAAGCTGTTGTAAAATCACCGGAGACTCCCAGAAACACTACCTGTAATGAACCTATGTGACTTAATAATTAAATAATATGTCCTTTTAACCCTTTAACGTCACATCCTCAGTTATATTATTACCCTATTTAACAATTTATGACAAAAAAAACACAATTTCTTTGTATTTTTATATTATCCCTCAATCAATCTTCAACTTTCAGCAACACAGAGCGAAGATACAAGAAAGGTTTTGATATTTCTTCGCGTATTTATGACTTTCGTTACCTCGTACGCGACAATCTTTAACTGATTCTGTGTGTTTGTGTGTTAGAGATCGAGTCCGTGAAGTTCGCCCGGCTGGTGTTTAACAGACTGTTCGAGATGTGCTGCATCTGGATGAAGGAGCTGCCCTTCCGCCGCCGCCCGCAGCCGTACTACGAGACCTCCATCCACGCCATCAAGAACATGAGGCGCAAGATGGAGGACAAGCACGTCATCATCCCCGACTTCAACTCACTCTTCAACATTCAGGTAGATCCAGCTTCCCAAAGCTGTTCGTTAGAGCACCACCATGTGGCCAGTCGGTGTAACCTCAGTCTGTTAGCACGATATGATAACCTGGGACCTGTTGGCTTTAGCCTCAATCTGTTGTGTATTTGTTACTGTCTCTGATATTTACTGGCTACAGACCCATAGCGTTAACGGTGGTTATGTGACGGGGTTTTCTCTTTCAGGATCTGGAAGAACAGGCTTACTTTGCTGTGTTTGATGGTCACGGCGGCGTGGACGCTGCCATTTACGCTGCTAACCACCTCCACGTCAACTTAGTTCACCAGGAGTCCTTCAGCCAGGACCCCAGCGAGGCGCTCTTCAAAGCCTTCAAAGTCACGGACGAACGCTTCGTGAAGAAAGCCTCACGGGAGGTAATGCGCCCGCCTGCGGAGAACCAGACACAC